TCTCCTCTACTGCTTTCCATTTCTATTGTCTTTCCTTCAAACCCCTTATCACCTGACATTTTTATATAACGATTATAAAGCTGTACTGATGACTCCCGCTTCTAACTGCACCTTTTGGCTGTCTGTGTTTACAGCTAAGAGATGAAGCACAGGCAGATTTTTTCCTACATATTCATTTCCACATGACCTTATAACATGTCAGACAATTTCGTGCCACATGAACTCCACCACAGCCCGTTCCTCTTAGTTGAAAGCCTCACTGCATTAAGAATTCATTGGATCTTGCCGCTCCTTATCATATTTGTTTCCGGACCGTCAACTTTTGGTGATTTAAAATTACGGTTCTGCCTTACAATTGCCATAGATTATAACTTTTGTTAGTGATACGTTGATATGCGTGGTTCGTTGACCTAGCTGCCCACTGGAAGCCACTCGATGTCAGCATATTGTTATTAGAGGCTATCCTGCACACATAAATTTTGTTTAAATTTGAAGAGAAAGTTCTGTCCATTTACCTGTTTTGCGGGATGAGTCACCAAAAATTTTTTTTCAGAGTACAGTAGGCTTTACAAAAATTGCACTGCTGGTGTCACTTTTTCAAGAAATCCCCTTTAGCCTTATTATCCTTTCCAACAAAAATCAATGAGAGGGGTGATTCGCTTACTTCAAAAAATTGCACAAGCAACGTCCAATCAGCCAAGAGGTAAACTGGCTGTAAGCATACGGCCAGTTTATGTTTTCTCGGCCCATCCGGGAGCACACGAGCATCATGTAGTTTGACTGGTACTGGTACTTGTGGCAAGGGCTTGTCGGTTCGTAATAAAAACGCCTGCGGTAATCCTTTATTATTTCGAGAAATCAGCTCCTCCATCTCCTTATTTCCTGATGTCAACGCAAAATAACCAACAAAGTCGCATCTGAACAGCTTCAAAAATACATATTACAATGTACTGTGAGTAACTCACAAAAATAATTAAGGAGACAGCATGAACGATCTGTTAGCAAAGAGCAATGAACGAGGAAATAGCATGGATTTGCTTGTAAAAGGAACCCTTGGAAAATTTTTCGAAGATATCTAGTAATTTTCGGAAAAGGACCAGAAAAAAGCATTTTTGCTCATTAATGAATACTTTTCGCAGAAAGGACTGGAAAAACATTTTTCTGCTCATTACTGAATAATTATTGTTATGTCTTACTTAATTCATCTAATACAAGTGTTAGAAGGGGGAGAGGCAAAGAGGAGGGAGGGAGGGGGATTTTGATTTCACGTTTTTGGATTAATCTGTAGTTAATTTTTTACATCTTAAACACTACTTTAGAATGCGTAAGCCGTGTAAATAAATTTGAATCCTAATATGGTTTGCTGGTTATGCTAGTATAGATAACAACATTTAATAAACAAGGTTAGAAAGCTGCTGCTTGAAAACAAAACGACTAACTTTGCAGCAAAAAACCATGGGCATTTGACAACTGAATGCTGCAACAATGGAATCGCTAATTTTTTGCTTTGGTTCACTTCAAGGAGCAGTTGCAGAGGTGCAGGAGGGCTACATTTACGAATCATTGTTATCTTTACTACGTTTGCTGATAATAAATAAGCCCCGATTACGTACATCTGAAAATTATTGCGATTTGCTTTTAGTAGATTTAACACGAAACGATGAAAATTTCAGGCAAAATCTGATCGATTCACCAGCTGTATTGGAAAATGTTTTATGGTGAGGGGAATTGGGATATCTGCCAACAAACACCCTTTGACTGCTTCCTTTCGTATTGGGGAAGTTCGCCTAAATCGGAAGCTGAGCCTGACTCTTTTCCCTTAATTGTCCGACGAACCGATATTTTAAAGTTTTAATTTTTTAGCTTTTTCGAGAAACAGAGATATCAAAGCGCATCAGATGTAAAGTCTTAAAACAGTCAGTTCGTCAAAAATATGGGTTGTTGTTGCACTCATGTCACTCACTGCACTCATTTTTGGAATTTCATTACTGCATGCGATAGGAAAAAGTTTCAACTTTCTATGTGGAGAAAAAATTTTTCTTTCTACTTTTTAGCTTTTTCGCCTGGTGAGTTAAAAACAAGTGACAAAGTCCATTCACTTGCGAACATACGAACACACACTCACATACAGATAATCTCTTGCCAACGCGCATTTTTGTTGTATAAACACTCATATTTTACTCGCTTAATTTTTATAAAAATTTCGCAAATATCGAGTTAAAATAACCCGATCAGCTATGTGCAGAAAAGAATGTCTCGGTAAAAGGTCTCGGACACAGCTGATAGCAAACGAATGTGTCTCAGAGACACCGAACTTCTCATACCACAGCCTTATGACTGTTATAAAGCAGAAATTGCTTGCCTTATCATCGTCGACCGAAGAGG